GCTCATTATGTACTGATCCTCATTCGTGTCTTTCTGTGGTTGGCTGCATATCTTTCTCGCATGCTATTGGAACACAGAGAGACAGAGGATTGGCTGAGACCATCGTGGCCTAATATGTCGGCTCCCCCAGACGTCGCTACAATAGCCAGCGTGGTGGATTCGGATGTACGGCGTCTGACCTGTGATTGTGGTTTCTGATTTGTCAATAAAGCCTCTCCTGTTGTACCAGTCTTCTTCAAACTATGCCTCGGGTATTCTATAGTAACGATGTCTGAGGGCATAGATATATTGAACCATGGAGGTCTCTGCCAATCCTCTCTTTGCTTTCAAAAGGCTTGCGAGAAATACATGCAGCTTAAACGAGACAGGTATGAGCAGCAGTAATAGAATACAACAGAGTAGGCTTTGTTGACCATTTACAAGCCAGAATCACATGCAAAGCGCCGTACACCTAAATCCTTCACAATGGCTGAATCGCGAATTGTGTACCGCTTCGGATGGACGGCGCCTGACGTGTGGTTCTGGCTTGTGATTGGTCAATAAAGTCCAGCCTGAAGTAGCAGTATTCTTAAAAACAGGAATCGGTTGTTCTACGCAAAGGCATAAATACCAAACCTTTTGACCTTGAATTATGGCATCACTGGATTAGTGTTAAGTATGAAACTCAATATTTTTATGTAGGAAATAAGATAGGCAAAAAACTACATCATAATGCAACTAATTTTTCAAAGAGGGAAAACTAATGAAAATTCTATCATATATAGCTTAACGCTAGCAGCGTCATGATTGCATTCACCATAATTTTGGCTTTTATAGAAACGTACACACTACAAATTATGCAATTCACTTTGCTTAAATATCGGTTTAGTTGAAGACATATATTTTCCATTTATTAACTATAAACTAAAGTGAATATTGTTTCATTATTTACGTATATCCTACGAAAAGTATCCCGTGCAAAGTCAACTTCTTTATTCCTATCTGTCTCATCGTTTACAATCAACTATGTGTTGTACAAATAGGAATGGCTGAATCAATTAAATTACTTTTTATTATAAAAAATCCGCCTATAATCAACAAATAATTATTTTTTTAGACATTACCGACCACAGGTCTCAACTTTTGTAATAATTTGATAAAATCGACTTTAAAAAATAAAATGTGTAGTTTTCCATTGATAAAATGGGTGAAAGTGTCAGTGACATTTAATTAGGTATTTGGTAAATCGATGACAACAAATCTAAATTGAATATGTTTATAAAAGAACATGAAATTATTGCTGTGGATTTCAGTATTCCTCAATACATTTTCCCTAATTAAATCTAGGTATGATGCACTTCTATTTCATCTCCTACTTCATATTTTGCATCCATTTTCATATTTTAATATTATGACACATTTGAAATCCTCACTCTTCTACCTCTCACTTGCACCTTGGTCATGTGTTTTCCTACTTGGTTACAGTCATACAAGGCATTAATATGCTCTTTATCTCGATGAGTTAATAAGTTAAAATGGCACTTTTTGGCTGAAGATACATCTTGTCTAATTTTGATAGGCCATAACTCTAACTTGTCTTGTGTAGATGTAGCTCGAGCTTGTTTTCCGTTCTGTGTGTACTGACACCCTCAAGTATTCAACAATTGAATATGCTGAAAGACTAAACTGATGGTTTTTGAATGCGAACTGATGGCAAAAATCCTTCATTTTGACTTTACTCGGAATCACTTCAGGCAATTTTTTTGAATCACCAGCCGTGTGTTAAGTTGTGAAAAGAGATGTGTTTGCACAGGATAACAAGTGTACCCATATAGCTTTACTGAGCGTCGATTATTGAACGTACGCAGTTACGTGAATTGCCTTCAAAAATATCGGTTAAATCATGTTCGAACACACTTGCAAAGTGATTTCGCTCACTAATGCAAATTGTGCTTGCATGCTGGTCGCCACACAGCGATACAAATTGTGTAATTTGAATGCAGCATCAATCACAGGGGTTATAAATTTAGAGTAATCAGCAGAAGCAACGCAAATTTACACTACGTCCCTTGTGGAAGATATGGAATCGATCGAAAATGGATCTGAGTATGAAAAATCAGTCATGTAGAAGAGTTGATGAGCGTCTTAAATATGAAAAAATACATTTAGACTTGCTGAGACATCATTTCGGATTGATTTAATGACACTTACATTTGACATGGTAGGTCCATTTACTCATAACATATAATATTCTTTAATCATGACGTCAAAATACAAGAGGGAATAGAAAATATCTTTCAAATAAACGAGTCAGTTGTAAACGTTTTGTGGTGGAGTTGAGAAAAATTATCATGAAAATATAGTGTGACATCCTAAATACTTTGAAATCGGCTTTGCTATTTAAGTCGCTTTTCATATCATCATGTATTTATAATTTGCGAAATTCCTTTTTTAGATGCTGGCAGTTGATATACACTAATTTAAAATAGGGTTTTGTGATCACTTGTGCATTTAAATCATGTGTTTTTAAAAAGCAGTTTGATGCGTTGCTAATGACGTAATATATTGCTGTTGAAAATTCCGCTTTTCTACATACATATTTTTCTTTATAACCATGAGTTGGATCAGTTTTGCTCTTAAAACTTGTAAACCTATTCTCATCAAATATTTTTTAGGCCCATTTATGTTTATTTATTTGCTAGAGTAATGCTGTAACTCTTTGAGATTCGATTGGCAGTTTCGTGTAAAGAAGAGGTTACATTTAAATGTTCTACTTTGGATAGGGCAGACTTCAACACTAGTGACCATCAGAAAAATAATGTATTAGCGTTTTAATATGTTAAAATTTCACATTGTTTGCTCTTTTTGATAAAAACCTTGACTTGTTTTAGTAATTCAAAGCTATTTGCTGATTCTGATGCGGATTTAAGATGTCTTGATTTGGTGTATTGTTTGTTTTTTTCTCATGGGTGTTTTGGGAATTGCAAACCTTTCTCAATGCATGACCATTACTTAACGTATTTTAGCCTGCCTCAGTAGTTTTTATCGTTAAAAATATTACCTCTTTATAAACAAATGTTTTTTTAGGTTTCGATTTTTTGTGTTGACATAATGTTTCATTCGTTGAATGCACATACTTCGCTGTTATGGATGATGTTTTATGTCATTAAAAAACTGCTAATTTTTATGTACCAGCAGAAAAATCTCTTAATGGACAGTTGTGTTTGTTTGCTTTGATTTACCATTTTGATCATGTTTTATTCATCCTTTTGCAAATTTTGTCACTTATCTAATAATTTACTTATTAACTTTTTTAAAGATGAATTTTTTTAAAATAAAGGTTTTTAAAGAAAGGTTTATTTGCTATATATTGCATACAACTACATCTTTTGTCTGACCAATTCACCTTGAAATTGTGGTAAAATGGACATATAAAATGTAGATTTTGATGTATTTTAAAAGCTTTACTGCTGTTAGTAAAGAAGTTGCTCTTTAGGTAATTGGTGAATATTGTAAAATGCTGTCCCTCGTTTATATTTTAACAGGTACTTCTGGATAGTTCTTTGGTGAATGCGTAGAAATAATAGGCTTGTTTCTTCTTATTGTCCCAATTTAAAATAAAACCCGCATTTTTAACCATTTTTGAATGCATCGGAACTTCCTTGGCTAATTTTGACTGGTGCACAGTTCATGTAAGTATAAGCGGAAGTCTTCTTCCTTGTTTGCTTCCTTGTTAGATGAAAACTTTGTCCCAGAACAACTAATGTTTGCTTACAGTCACTTGTAACCGTAGTTATTTATAAGCTCACTGTTGAGTTCTCGTGTAATCATTTGTTCATTTAATCCATTCTTAGTCAAATTTATTGTGACACTTCACACATGGTCGATTGCATTATATTTGAAACCCTAGCTTTTTTAAAAAAAAGTTTTTATCAGAATGTATTCAGAAATAACAGAAATTGCGGTGCTTCGGCTTTTTAGGGCCTATGGCTGCCGTTATTCTAAAATCCTTATTGAGTGCTAAAATGATGTATATGTTTAAGGTCTTTCTAAGGAAAAAATAGATTCGTTTGTCGCATCAATAGAGTATCGCACTCTCATTATGCTCTACTAGTTGCTTCATGTTAGGTTACCTAAGAGTCTAGCGCTATTTTGAACACGTCTAAATAGCCCCTCATAAAATAAAGTCTATAAGATAATTTACATTTTTTTAAATGCTTAACTTAGATTCTTTAAATCACAATATTCCGATGCATTTCAAAGCCTTGGACCAAGAAGATCCTGCTCTCAGAAAAAATTCGAAGCCAAATTGTTTAAAATCACGCCAATACCTCAACTAGTAAATTTTTGCCTTTGTAGCGGTGAAACCTTACTTCAACAACTCTCGTCACTTCCCCACAAAAGTTGATATTTTCGATATGTAGAAACTAAGAAAACACCTCACTTGAAATGCCACAGATTCCAGACCAGTTGGCGTTTGTCAAAACATTGCAATGCGCTCGTTGTCTAGGAACCTTCGCTAATAAAATAGGTAACTTGAAAAACAAATACCTTAATGTTGCCGGTAACTACAAGTCAAATGTGAAGTAGCACTTCGGTTTTGTGTTATTCTTAGAAAAACCCGGATAAAATGCATCACAATTCATTAGCCGCCATCGGCAGAAGTGTAACCATAGAGGCCCAGGATAGCTTGTCAGAGTCATCTGAGGACCGCAGCTCGAAGGAGTCGTTCCGGTCAGCGGAGCGAGTGTCAGCAAAGCCCGAGTCTTCGTCGCAAAGAATCTTCCGCCTTGATGAGTTACTGATGCACCTGAAGGATGTTGACCAGCAACTGAGGGAGTTGCACACCACCAAGGAACTGGCAACTTTAAAAAATCCGATCAGTGCATCCCAATTTGGACAGGAGGTAAGTCCGGAAAATAATTATTTCATGCAGTTCAAGTGTTACATCACATACGTACTCTAATTTTAAGGAGAAGCACCTCTAACTTGTTTCAGTTAGGTTCTATGCCCAGTTACACAAACTGGAATTTTGAAGAGTTTTAAAAACCTCCCTGTATATTAATAATTTGTTTTTAAAGCAAACTAACCAAAATACCTTATGGTGGAAAAATACAGTAAAGTTTGGTTTCGCAGCTGTTTGACGTCCTCTATGGACCTATTTTGCCTAACGAACGCGATTTAAAGTCATGATATTTTAAAATTCAAAATGATACCTTGTCTTGCTCAACTTCAACCAATTAGAATTTTGTAAAGCCCCAACGAATAAAAGTAGTGAAGCATTCATACGCATGTGTGGTTTTTGGGTGTCTTTGCACTGAGACCTATTTATTGACTCAAGTTTCACAAGAGGCACTATTATTTGTGGCGACCGGAAATGCACATCGGAATCCAGGCTATGATCCAGCAAACAGACTAAGGACATAAATTTTGAACGGTGATTATGATGTTTAGCAAAAAAGCAATTTGGAAATCAACTCTGATGTAAGCCACAAATGTTTTTTTACTCGAAATAAGTGATTTTAAGCATGGCTGCCTGTGAGTATGACTTAGATGGGAAAAAAATTGTCTCAAAACAGGTCTGATGACTAAGATGAATGGCCAAGAGCACACCATTTCAATCTTGCATCACGCTTGTCCATTGAAATTTCACCCATCTATCATAAATCTGAGATCATAAATCGCAATCTTCCGTTAAATTGTTCGTTTGCTAAAATGTTTGGGTACTTTAAACACCTGCATCGTTTTTGGGTTCTAAAAAAATGACGACTGGCGGTGTCGCATCCCTTTTCGCTGTTCGGCATTAGTTTAATGAAACCGAATTTTTTTGCAACTCTATCGTTGTCGTCGTCGTTGTTGTGAGTCAAATAAGTAGCTCAACTTCGCTTACCTTTTTAAATGACGGATTCTCAAAATGAATCTTTTTAAACTGTCGTGAAAGTGCTCAAGCTGAGATTAATTCAATTTACCACTCCGTGAAAATATAATCGACTGTTTGATGCCCATGCAACCTATTAGTTCGGGCTTGCAATTTTGATCAACCCGATTCGGTAAATGTAACACCTCTTCCGTTAAAGATTTAATCCAAACTACGAAAATGTCACTGTCAAAAAGTTAAATCTTTGGGGTCTAGAATTGAGGCTTACACCCTAGTTGCAACATAAACGGTGACAAAATAAAGCTGGTAAATTGCGGCTTGAATTTCCTAACAAATTATTTGTACAGAACAATGCTTTAAAAGGAACCAGAAGTGAACTTTCACATATTCTTATGGTGGTTTTAATAGCAGCAAGCCATAATAACTCTGTATCGATTTTTACTACATACATTAGTTGTTACATATGTTTATAGGGCAAAATAATAAAACTGTGCTTTTTCACCGGCATTAATGATTTACTTTATTCAGAAGTATATTGTTTTTTTTTCTAAAATTTCTGACACTAGATTGTTTATTTTGGGATTGTCAAAATGCGATGTATACTGAATACCTCGTCTACGTTACGTACTGTAGAGCTTGCTTTAAAAACCAACAAAATATTGACCTTTGGAGGCACTTTCCCCAATAACTAAAATTTTCAGATCAATTAAAATGTTAAATACGTCATTGAACTAATTTAAAAACAGGTTGTTTGTCCTTCAAACGTACTAAGACACTTGGTGGTTGAGCCCTAACTACCGTTCACCACTTTTGTGGTTTTTAGTTGGGATGGGCAAATAAGACTATAGCGTCGGCTTGATACTCTGCCGAGGAGTGCCAAAACTCGAATTGTCACGCATCACAGTTAGGTGATACTGTCAGAACGCTTGCATCAAGTACAAGTAGTGCCTAATTAATATAGGGCAGTCTTTTGGTTCTACTGGCGTTCACATTTGACCACCTGCATCACTGAGTTTGAATGGCACAGCCCGTTAAGCCCGGGTCGTTGCTAAGAAGCGCTCTGCAAACCCTCGCATAGCAACTTTGTGGCCATCAATAATGCGACTGAGATCTTTTATGTGAACGGAACTTAAAGTCAGGCATCTGGACTATAAGTGGACCAATCTGGTCACCAAATAACTTGAATCATATTTTAAGTAAGGACATGGTACTTTTGAGGTCTGCTCGTAAAATGTTCAGTGCACGATGATCGATCACGTTTGGGACGGAACCAGTAGGAAGATTCCAAGCAGAAACGGATGGCGGCGTCTGGAGTTAATAAACCTTCAAAAGATCTCTTGCAACGCACTACGTTTGCCAATCTCGACCACAAATTTATCAAGACGACATTTTCCTGTTCTTCTGTCAAACCTCTTGTTTGGCTGAAGGGTAATAAAAGCGGTACGGCTAAGAAATACATTTTTTGAACAATTCAGTAGAAGGTTGCTAATGTTAAATGAATAATTCAGGTCTCTTTATAACAGACGGACTTCTTGATAATAAATTACTCGAAAGCTCATAAACTAGGGTTCGCCGCCCAATTTTTTCACACCATCAAATTTATTCCAAGCGTGAGAATGGCTTTTTGACCTAATTGGGCAATGCGACAAGCATTTTTATCATTTCAAAGTGTACACATCGGATGCCTAACATTTGCTGTGTTCACTCACCGGTAACAACAAAAATTAAATCAGGGCATTCCTCTGTGACATCGAGCTTACAGCTGGTGTGATCGTCCCAGCTTCCGTCCACCGTATTGAGTTGTTTTGGATGCGTAGGCAAGCATACATTGAAATTCAATGCACATCGCTCGGAAGTAGACGCATGGACGAAATCACAGCCACAAAGGTCTGAGGTAAGCAATAATTCTTGAAGAAGACGACTTTATCCCCATTCTTTGTTGGGCAGTTCGTGTCTCGGGCGCACCATAATCCTTGATGCCGTCATCCATTGTTTAAAACACTGTGAAAATCTGGTGGCGCTGAGGCACAAATAGTATTTTTATCGGAAACCCATTTTCAGTCGTAGCCCTGTTTAGCACGACACAGAGCAGCAGTCAAAGTTGCTTGAGTCATCTACAAAGGCTGTTTGGAAGCACACGAGTTTACTTCAAAAAGTAGGTTGCACTTTACAAATCACCAGATGTCGGTCAATTATTAATACCTTGGTGCAAAGCGAAATAGTTTCTCCTCATGCCCAAGCAGCTCTCCGCCTGCTCTTGGGTCTGGCTAGGATGTGTCAGGCTAATTTGCGAAATTAAATCTTGTTGCTTGTGGAAAATGCCAATAATGCATTATTTAACAACCGGGCTAGATTAACCTCTCGCGTTCTCTCCGTCTAATTCCGTTCCGCTGCAACTTGTCGAAAAAGAGGTTTAAGTCTTTGTGTTTTTGCTGTTTGTTAAACATCACCGTTCATTTAATACCCTTGTAGCTGTGCGAGAAAAAGACCCAATCGGATGGGAGTGCAGCTGCAAGGTAGGCGCACAACTGAGGCCCCTGCTGCTGCCTTCCATTTGGGGCTTTGGGAGAAACATTATTTCAGTTTCGCACGTCTTTTTTATAGTCGTTTTCTTGCCTCTACGGAGCCAACAGTACTTTTCCGAATTCCATGCAACTTGTCTGTAATTACATGTCTGCCCCCTTTCAAGCATTCATATGACACGTAAATGGCAATTTCATTCAGAGCAGCTTTACCAAAACAACATTTTAAATATTTTCCTAAGAAATTTGTTCGGTTTCTGAATTTAATTCGAGTTTTCGAAGTGATCTCTTCGATAGCCTTAAAAATGGTTAATTTCGAGACCACCTTGATTCCACTTTGACTCTCAAAGCATAAACGTTCCAACCGAGCTATTACAGATACGTCAATGTGTGTTTAACACTTTCTAAACCTTCGCAGTACAACTAAGCAAATTCGTAGGAGTACCACTTGACCTTGTTTCAGAGTTCACTAAAGGCATTTTAATATACACGCACACCAGTCTAAACTGGATCTCGACACCCGATAAATCTGAACAAGTTTAATGCCTTACAGCAAGGCAATCTGTCATTTCCAGTCCATAGTTTGTGGGAAGAGAATCCCTTTCTATTACGATTTTATCTGAATGGAAATGCTCACACAATTTTCAGGTTTATATTCCAGACGCTTAAGTATACATAATTAAAAGGTTCGATGTTCAAAACCTTTGACACCTAAGGTCTTAATCGTCCTAATCTGACACCTATTTTCTTACTAAAAATATTATTATTTTGCTTGGCTATTAATTTGTTAATGCTGTAAGTACTTACGACAGCTGCAGAATTTAGTAACAAAATAGATTAACAGCGTTACAGACTATGTCATGCAGTAGCAACAAAGTTAGTGCAAACTGATTAGACTTTAGTTCTACCAGAACATCCTCCAAATATATTTTCCACAAAGAAAAAACCTTTGTCTCCGTAAATAAGGGACTAAAATAAGCAAAAAGTAACCCGGCGTTAGTGGGCTTTCAAATCAACGTTAAGTGAAGTGAGAGAGTGCGAAACTGATATTTAACACCCCAGCCCCTTGATCAGCACTGGTTCGTCTTCTTTTTGCGAATTTCTACCGTGGCTTAGCAAGAAACCCAACTGTGTCTTTGTTCCTTGTAATTTCACAGTTGGCTAAAATAGCGCGTGATGAATTGAAAAGCGTTGGGTGTTGCAACGGGGTTCAAGTTGTCATCCGCGAGCACTTTTACCCGGGCAGGCTATTTACAAATTGCAACCCGTCTGGTTAGGATTTCTATCTTCATTACACAGAGTGGTATTTGTTGTTTAGTCTAGTCCTACTGGCCACTTAGCTCTTAGCACACTGCCACGAATAAATGGCTGTGGGGAGGTAATTAATCCCACATTTTGCAAAGTCGTATGAGTGAATTCTGCGGTTCTTTAAATCTGGTCTTTTAGAGACCTATGGGCCTAAACTGTCATTGAGTCGGAGAAACTGAACCGCTATTATAAAGGCCTGGGTTGGATGAAGTCTGAACACTAAGAAACCCAAATTTAAATGCTTTTCACAGCTGAAAT